AGTGTGCCCTTCTCTAGGCTAAATAATCCCAGTTCTTTCAGGGTTTCCTCATGAATCAAGTTTCCCAGGCCTTTAATAATTTTTTTGCTCTCCACTAGACTTTCTAAAACTGGGTACAGTATTCCAGGTGACACCTCACCAGTGCAAAACAGAACAGGAGAATTACTTGCTTTGACTTGCAAGATTAACTCCTATTAATACGGGCCGGTATCCGGTTGGCCTTGTTTGCAACAGGAACACATTCTTGGCTCATATTCAGATTATGGTCTTTTTCTGCACCGTTGCTAGTCTTTTCCCCTGTATTACCAGGACTTTGCACATATCCTTACCTAACAGCTAAACTCTGTTCTCCAAGGAAGGTGGATGTTGTTCAGTGGCTTTGTTCACTTGGGCCCAAAAATGCTTTTGTTGTTACTTGACTCCAGACAAAATTTTGATTATGTGGGCTTATGCTATACTATGCTTCATAGCTTGGACTGGTCTTCATATGCCCTTTACAAAATTAGTTTTATTGTATATGTCTATTAAGATGCTTGCAGGTATAGAATGATTGCCATATGCACTTGTGAGAGAAATTTTTTGTTACCATATTGGCAACTCATAACAATTTAATTGGACAGCATATAAAATTAATAATATATAATCCCTAAAGAATGTTTTAATCCTCTGCCCTCTCTTTAGCTCCTTTAACTTGGGTGATGCGTTGGCTACTATTGGTGAGAAGGTGTGTGCTGAAGTCAATAGCTGTCTTTCCCAGCATGGGTTTACACCATTCACAACCGAGAAAGAGACTGTACTTAAAGGACAGATCCAGGCAGTGGCAAATCCTGACAACACCATATGCAAGCTGATAGGTATGCTGGGAGGGCATGGGTTGTGTTCTAACCATCCTCCTTTCTTATGCTACTAACAAACCAGGTTATCAGAATGTTTTGGCATTGCTTACGTATTGGCTATTTATTAAGACAGGCACTTGGTTCTTTCTGCTGGCTCTGGCTGCATCCTAAATGAGTGACTGATTTGACTTCAGACCTGTAAGCACTTCTGAAAATCAGGCCAAAATATTCAAATATCACTTCCCAAATTTCAGCTGCAGGACTTCAGTGATCACCTTTGGAACCTGGTTCACTTGATTTTAATAGTGCCCCACCGAGCTGCACAGTTGTTTATGTCACCAAGTTAGCTTCGGATACTGTGTGATGCGTAGTAACTGCTGAGCTTTGATCGTTTTTTAGACAGTATAACACAGGGTCAGCAACACTTTTGACCAAAAACACCCCAGCCCACGCCTCGACTCAGCATGCCAGAGGTAGACAGTGGGAGAGCCATGAGAGGCCTGATCCTTGTTGCTGGCGGTGAGTGCACATGCACCTTTAGGCAGATGGTGGGGGGGGAGACAGTTGTGCTGCCCCAGCCCCTTTTGCGCTGTGCGCCCAAAGGTGTGCATGTAGCTGTCGCTGTCACAGTGTTGGTGCTGGAGCTCCAGACGCTAGTGCAACTGCTTGCAGCCTGCCTGCTGCAGCTGCTCAGAGCACCTGTGCAGCTGCTTGTCACAGTCCACCTGGACTCTGGGCATCTGCAGCAGGCAGCTAGGAGTCTACAAACAGCTGCACCGAGGCCCCATCACCATCTTCATGGTGGTGGCAGCTGCATGCTTGTCTTGGGGCACATGGTGCAGGGTGGGAGGGACGGGTTGCGATGTCCCAGGCACCTTCCTAGCCACGCACCCTCAGACTCCTGTGCAGCCACTACTGCTATGGAGCCCAGCCAGGGTTCTGGAGTCTGGTGCAGCTGTCTGCAGCCTCCTGGCTGCCTGCCACAGCCAGCCCAGGCTCTGTGCAGCTGCTGCCTGCTATGGAGCCCAGGCTGCTTGCAGCAAGACTTGCAGCCTCCCTACTGCCTGCTGCGATCAGCCTGGTTTCCATGGCTGGCAGTAGCTGCCCTGAGCCTAGGCTGGCTGTGGTATGCTGAACAAAATGGCCTCACGTGCACATGTACTGGGAGTTGCCAACCCCTGGTATAACATAATACAGCTTAGCATAGTTGGCAGTCTGTGCACAAAGGAATTTCTAGATTGAAATTTTCTTGCAGACTGATCTCAAAATGTGCGCTTACCATGTTTGAATCTCCTTTTTTTTTCCTGCCCCCCATGTAGGAAGATAACTTATTTCTTTTGCAACTTTTTTAAAACCTTGCTCCTTTTCTTACCCTTTTCCAGATTCTCGAATCCAAACATTCCTGGAGAGTTATCTTGTTTCGAGTCACCAGAAGTTTTTACCTGCCATTCCGGGTGGACTTGGCCCTATTCAGAAGGAGCTGGAAGAAATTGCTGTCAAATACGTTCGCCTTGTCAATTATAACAAGATGGTCTTCAGCCCTTACTATGACACTGTTCTCAGCAAAATACTGGATAAGGAAGAATCTCAGCTATTAGGGAAGTCAGAAAAGTCATAATACCCATTCGTATGCTTCTTAGACGGTGTTAGTTTTGTCTTCTATTGAAATGTTGCACCTAACTTTGCTCTGGAAAACAGCTTTCCATTTAAACTTTTTTTTTTTCTTTAACTGAGTAACACTGGCTTATTCTGAAGGAGAAAGGTGCTCTGAAGTAAAAACAGATGAATCTTTAGGTATGCCAGACTAATGATCTGTATTTTATTTTTCTGCAGTTTTCAGAAACTGAGCAGTTGCTAGATAAGGTGATAATTTTGCAATCAAATGGCATCTTAAATGGCTGATTTTAGGTGTCCAAACTCTCTACTTTATCACAAAGTTAGTATGTGCATTGATGTAAAGCAGATTAGCAAAGGTCTCTTCCAAGTTTGAGTGATTTGGCCTCGAGAAATCTTATAGTAACACCTGACAAATGTAACAATTTAACAAACATAAAATTCCAGATGTGAGAAACTTGGCTAACTAATCAAGAGCAAGGCCAAACGCAGCACTTTACTGTAATATTATATTTTGTATTTGAAAGCTACTAGTCTTTCTGCTAATCGCATTTTTTCTATCGCATATTTTCCTCTCTACCTGCAAATGCGTTACCAAAAACGTTATATAATTATATTTTTGTAGTGAATTTTCTGGATATCAGGTAACTGTCCTCTTTGTACAGTATTTACAAAGGTGGCAATCTGTAAGATTGCAACTGTATTTATTTATTGTAAAGATTTCAGAAGGGCAGAGAGAGAACTCTTTTGATAAGACTGGCACTTCTTGCCTTTCTGTTGCTGATAGTTTATTCCTTTTTATGTAAATTACTTATTTTAAAAAGTGAAATGTAATGTTTTTAGAAGATGGATAAAGGCTTTACCATTGAATTTTAGGCTGAAGGAAACTACTTGTTTTTTAAATTGTGACGTAAGTGAAGACTTATGCTCATAGCTTCAGAAATACCAATGAAATTCAGAACATATCAATAAAATTTTGGTAATAGTAATTTTATGTGTATAGAAGGAAATGAGCTATTTTAAGTTAATTGGAATTAATGTGAGAATATTTGGTATTTTGTTTTCCAATTTTATAGAGAAGTTCTTGAACTCAAAAACATTTGTAGATCCTTGAGAAATTATCTAGTTACTTAATCTCTCAAATGAGTGTCCTCTGAAGGTGTTCTGATCTTAGTGGTTCAACAGCATGAAAAGTAATTTTTTTTTCTTTGAGAACTAAGTAAATCTTAGATTTAGGGCAGTGGCTGCATCCACACGAGATGCTGACTGTGTAGTCATTACTGCAGTAATTTATTTAGTACTTGTATAAACAACTAAATGACTGTGCAGTACCAGAGTACTGCGCATTAGTGATGCCAAATGGCTTTTTCATGATGCTGACAGCACAGTAGCTACTGCACAGTAGCGTCACATCACGCTTCCTGGCACACGACACTACGGCACAGTAGTGATGAGTTAGAAGGAAAACTGAAGTGGTCTTCAGCTGATACTGCCCAGGAGGGTTTGGGTAAGAAGTGGTTCTAGAAGTGGCTCGGTTACCATAAGGTGATATACCCATAGGCAAAAGTGATAGCCTGGTGCCTATTCCTAAACTGAGGGCCTCAGTAAAAAAGAACATATTCCAGGGGTAGGCAACCCCCAGCACAGGTGACAGAGCATGGCACGCAAAGGCATTTTGCTTGGCACATGCACCTTGGGATGGATGGTGGGGAAGGGGCCAGGGCTGTGCTGCCACAAGGATTGGGCTTCTCAGCTTCCCTGCCCTTCACCCCTGGCCTGCCAACATCTTACAAGTTGAGGTTGCAGATGTTTTTGGGACTCTGCTCAAACATTGACAAGTCCTGATGTATTCTAAAACAAAGAAATTAAAATGAGGCCTGTTCAAGTGCTAATTACGCTGTCAATTCTATTCTTTCTTTAGTCAATCACTGTAGTTTGAATGGGATGTACGTACATCGTGTATACCAGTGCTTCCATTTCTTTTGACATTTTGAAGTGGGAGTAGTTCCTACAGTTTGAGCAGGGGGAGAAGGTTACAGGAACTTTCAGCTCTGAGGATGAGGATGTAGGACTGTATTGTTTGATTGTGTGCCAGTGTGAAACACAGATTTCCTCATTTTATGATTTAAAAATAATTGCATCAATAACAAACAGTTTTTCTGTGTCAGAGGGCTCTTGGCCACATTTTTTCTATTGTTATAGTTAAAGGTTTTTTAGCTGGTGGTTAAGGAGAAAAGGTGAAAACTGTAATTTTGTTTGTCTAGTAATTTTTTGTATTGTCTGTGTTTACAAATTCTGCGTAAGGAAAATATAAAGTACTCTAGAGAAGCAAATTCCTTACTGTCGTCTTCCTCAAGTGTTTGATACTATTGTTCTCCATACCTTTGCATATCAGGCTGTAATCTTAAGTCTTGTCTTTTCATAGTGGATGCTTCCAACCTTTTACAATGTAAATGCTGCTCTAAAAGTGCAGTAGTCCATAGTGCTGTTGTAGCTCCGTGTGTGTATTTTTTTTGTTTTGAATAACTTGTCTACGTAACTTAACACCTCACCAGTTTTTGTTAAAAAAGAGTGAAGGTTAGAAAACAAACTGCTCAACTTTTACTATTCTATTTAATGTGATTTTTAAATGTGTATCTTTTTTTAATTGTTTTTTTTTATTTCAGTATTACCCAAAGTTGTCATTTACTCTTGAAATCACTTGAGCTGTGTGCTGTTCAAGAGTAGATGTGAGGGTTACAATCCTTTAAAAAGGATACATGAGTAAGGTTATCAGGGCTATGGGTACATCTTTCTAGTGCTGCTACATTCATTTTTGTATTCTCTGGAGGGCAGAAGTGTGGGGTTAGTGTGAGGTAAGGAAGAAATTGAATGGTGTGGGTAAAAGGAAGGGGAGGGATGGAAGATGGTCATATAGGGAGAGGAATCTGAAGGGCCAGGCCAAGAGGAGACTGAGGAGATTTTGAACCAGATAACAATTGATGTCCAGAGTTGTAATTAACATAACAATTGGACTGTAAATGGGTGTCATCATCTCCCCACAGTCAGTTCTAGATTTGAACCCTCCAGCATGTTAAGATGATTGGTCAATCTGGTTGTGAATTCCTTTAACCTATAAGCCTCCTACTTTTTTGCAAGATTTTCTGCAATCAGTTTTGTCCTACTGTTTGTAGCTGGGTACCCTTGGCCTATCCTAAACAATCAATTATATATTATAATTTATATTTCTTCATAGTGTTTCAAGGCACTTTTTCTTTTGGTTATATGTTTAGGAAGGAATCTAATAAAATGTAACTGCTAAATTGATAGCCTCTTAAATCCAGAATGGAGATAATTTTAATGACAGAAATAGGGGTATGACAAATGTTACAATGGCAAAAGCAGCAAAGAGCTTGAAGGACACTTGCAGCAAACAAAACCATGGCTTCATAATGATGAGGGTGACTTAATAAAATAGTGGAAGTGAAGAATATCTGTGCTTGAGCACCTCCTATAATTCATATTTCAAATTCATACTTACCTGTAGTTTTTATGCCCATGCTCAATAACTCATTAATGCTAATGAAGAAAACACATTTGTTAGTTTGTGAAAGCCATAATGGGTACAATAGTAGCTCCTTTAACTTGTTTTTCAGGATTAAAGCAGTTTGGTTGGGTTTTTTTAAGAACATTTGCAGAAACATGGATTGGTGTTCGAGTTTAAGCAAGTATATTTTAGCTGAGACATGCTTGGTAGTAACTGACTATTTGTATCACTGCCTTCTGGAAAGACATCTTAGTATGCTGCTTTACAGTAATAGCACTAAATGGGCAGGCCAAATACTGGACAAAACTTGACGTGAATCTGACTCAATTATTTTTATGTGGAATTGAATTAAGGTTTTTTTTTCACAGTAACTTGTACTTTTATGAGGCCTTAAGATACCAACTAGGCCTCTCTTGAGCCTGTTCCCAGGTTGTTACTAGCCTGGTTTTAGAAGTGCTAAATTGTGTTAGTTTCCAAACCATGGGCTATTTTACCCTTTTTGAGTGATGACTGAAGGGAAGAAACAAACTAGAGGTTAATGGGTTCTAAACTCTACGCTTTGGAGCTGCTCCATGCTCAGCACTTGTGCACATGAAGTCGCTTCTTCAGAGATCTAAATATGCATGTAAAGAATCTAAAACTTAAGCATCAAGTTTTGAAATCCTGACCCAAGAGTCCAGGTGAGAAAGGAACAGGTTTGAGTAACCGTTGACTTTGCAGTTGTTCAAAGATCTTAAATACCAGACAGGACCTACCCCACCTTGCTTGATGCAGGTAAAAACTGGCACTTCTGCCTTGTAGTTGAGCATTTTTTTCCCTGTATACTGGTATGAAATCCCTGTGGAGCATTCCAAGCTTATGTTTTACATCCAGAAAAATACATTGGAAGAAATAGTAGCTTACCCTAAAATGCAAGCTCCATTGTGTTTCAATTCCCATTCTGCATGTGTCACTGTGAGATATCTGAGCACTTATTCTTAGCATTACCATGGGTCTGTAGAATAGCATTGAAGTGGTCTTGCTTCTAAGAAAAGTTGGTAGTAATGGTCGGTATGAATAAATACAATTACGAAAAGAAATTTAAGTACAAATCCTGGATGACTGGTGTGCCAGTAGATAAAAATACATGTAGGAGGCTGCTTTCTCCTCCCCTGCAAAGCCACAAAAATGCAGATATTCATGAGTACCAGCTTCTGCTTATTGTGACACCAAGCCTTGCTTCTGCATGTTGTTCACATGTTCAGTTCAGTACATTATATTTTGTTCCCATTCTGAAAGCTTAGTTATGAAGTTTGACTCTTCATAAATTGTCAGGAATAGGAAATGTAGCCTTAGGCAGCAAGATGGCTTGTTCAATAGAGGATTTTGTACCAAGTAAGAACTACTGACTTTGGGGTTTTGTAGGCCAAGCAAATCCTACAAAGTGATTACAGCAACTTTCTCATGTGTTTATATTTAGTAGTACCTAGTAAATTCCATAATGCATCTCAAATTATCACTCAATGTTCTTTTCCTCAAGTGATAACAGCTGGCAAGCTAAATTGAAAGGCACATAGCAAATCAACTTTCTAATAATTTTGCTGACTGACAATGGCAATGCTACACTCAGCTGACCACAAGAGGTCAGAATTTGGCTGATCTATCTGTGCTTTTTCATACAGTTGCTTGGTTGCTCTGCTGAACTTGAGGATCAGGACCACATATATGTAAATATATGTACATTTTCCTTTGTGTTAAATGATACTGTCACACTGTTCTTGAAGGGTACTGGACAGTTAAAGTTCTGAGATATGTATGATATGATTGGTTTCCCTGAAAGGCTTATTGCTAACATCCTTTTTGAAGTGGCTTTGGCTGAACAATGTTAAAAAAAAAAACAAAAAACCCCAGCTTTTGTGTATGAAATAAAACCTGAATGAGGCATGAAGTTATTGATATCCTTTTATTTTAAAGGAATGTTTTTCCATTTTAAACTACAAAACAGATTCCATACATTCTGCCATAAATAAAAACAAACAATAAGGCAGGACACTACATGAGCAAACTGAGAACAACTGTTTTCCAGAAAATGTGAATTAAAAATGTTTCACAATTATAAGCCATCCAGTTTTTAAAATAAAACTGTTGAAACCCCACAAGATTTCAAGTGGTAGATGTGAACACACTTGAAGAGGAACTAAATGCAAGTTGGACATTTTGCACTTTTTTTCAAAAACCTAATCTTGTTCAGAGCACAAATCTGTTCAGCATTCTAAGACTCGTCTGTCCAAGAAACTTATGGTATAAGAGGCACCTCAGTAACAAACCTCCGCTCCAAGATATCTGTTAAAAACTGATGTCCCTTTAAACATTTGACTTCAGAGGCAAAAAATTCTCTCAGTCCTTTTCTTGCAGTAGGATTTTAAACTTGTTTCACCGGATTCTCTTTTGCTGTCGTGCTCTGTAAATGTCATGTACAGGAGGAACCACGGATCCTTTCTCCTCTTCATCATCAGAATCTTCATTTGGTCTCTTGACAGCTTTATTGAGCATGGCATTATTCTCCACAGGTCCATTACCTTCTACAGTTAGGTCAGGCAGGCCTCCAGTAATTATTCTTATAGCTTCATCAACAGCTTTGGAATGAGGAAAAGATAAATTATCTTCAAGCACAAACCAGTCAGCAAAATTAAGCCTCCCTGGAAAACATGTGAATTCATTTAGACCTACTTTTGGAAACATTACCAGAGAATGGCATCACTGCAAGAAGCCAGTCAGGATTTCTTGACACTACCTCCAGCTGAGGCCGTGTCAACCAGAAAGAATAAGGAGATCAGAAAATAGAAGTCACTGAATAGTGTAGCTCAGCTTGAACTAGTTTTTTCTTTTTCAGGGCTGGGGAGGCAGCAGGGAAAGCAACATGAAAGTTTACATCTGATGCAGAGATTAACAGGAACACTAGGGAAGATGGTTTATTTTAGCAACAGTTACAGATGTACTGAGTGAATTTTAGAGTGCAACTAGTTTGCTACTCTATTTCTACTAGTAAATAGTGCAAGTAGAAAATGTGAAATCCCTACCATTATTTTGGGACTTGTCAGACTATAACATTTCAAGAGTGTTCAGGACAATATTTAAAAAGTTACTTTAAATAAAAGCACTGGTGGTAGAGACATAGAATCTGCAGTGCCTGGGGTTAAATGCCAAGTAGAAAATACAAAAATAAATGGTTGAAAACTATATTATTTTAAGAAAACAGCTTAAGGGAAGTCACTGGGACAAGTGAAACTTATTGTTTTAATAACAGATATAAGCTATGCTGAAACTAATGCCCAAACTTATGTACTTGACCTACACTTAAAAGTTAATATTGAAGTTTTCCATCTTTTAATTAAATGATTTTTTTTCACTTCCTATTTTTACTTGGAAAAAAAAAAAAAATCAGAAGTTTGATTTTGCTGGAGTGTGAGACTATCTGCTACTACAAAAAACATTTCAATTACTCTCTGGCAAGAGACCAAGTGTCCAGACTTAAGTGGCACGCTGTATATCCAATCCTTCTGGACTAGTTTAGTTCTCAGCTATAAACTATGGAAAGCTGTGTGTGTTAGCAGGTGCTTTTGGTGCAGTTCCATGGGCTGAGAAAAATGAGACCCAAGTTTCTCATCACCCAAATATGATATAGCTCTAAGCTGGATAATATTATGTTTAATCCATGAGAGGAGCAGAGTGACAACCTGAATGCCTGCTTTCAGTCTAGTTTTATTAGCCAAGTTACATTTGTTAGTTGAGTGGTTTTATATCAGAAATGTGTAGTATTACTTACAGCAGTTTGAACAGGAACAGTCATATATCAGTGAATTACACATTTACATTGACCTGATAGTCTTCATGCCTGTATAGGAAATCTCTGGTGTTTAGCAGCAGCCTAATCTAGGTACAATGATGAGACCTACTGAAGGGCAGGG